ACGGTGGACAGGCGACGCTCGGTACCCGGAACGTTGTAATAACCGAAGGAGTGATAATATAAGTGACGAGTCGTGATGGAACCTTGGAATTTCTCGACTCAGACCGGAACGTTCGACTCAGCCGCAGGTTCTGAAGCGGGAAGTCCGTCCCAGTTCTTAACACGGAAGTCTGAGTCGAAGTAGGGGAAGTCAAGGTATGGAACTTACTCCACTGATCCACATTGCAGTTACATAGTTACATCGGTATCTTCCGAGCCCATCATACTCGTACGAGACACCGTCACGCACTTTCCGCTTTCCTCGCCATTCAATGCAACAGCGGAGTAGGCGACTCGAGTCGAGTTGAACTGCGCCGTAGAGACGCCATACGAGATACGCGGGAACCGAGAAAACCGAGACAGGGCTGCGCCGTACGGGGAGGTCGGTACAAAGGGGGACCTTGACTTCGACCGACTCCGACCTCGCCGTTAACAAAGCACGCAAGTACCAAGCCGCCGTAAAGAGTAACAAGAGTCAGTCGCCGGAGGATTGAGGTGGGCTCTGTAACGAACCATCACCGCCTTTTACGCGAACCATCCGCTTGGAACGCAGCGCATGAAAGACACCCCGGGGGGTTAACACCGCTCTTTTTGCTCCTACGTGGCCACATCATAGTAGAGTCTTTGCTGTCGATATGAGCAGTACTCGCCCCGGCCCCCTTCTTCATCATCATACTATCTTCTCCACAGATGCGGCGTTGTGTTATCATACACCCTCGCTTCTACCCCCTCATGAGGGAGACCGCTTTTTTGACTTTACTACGTGGCTACATTATAGGACGATGTACTGTACTCGCCCCGGCCCCCTTCTTCGCCATCATATCCCTCTCTCCCCTCTATAGCTACCTGCGGCGTTGTTATATGCCCACAGTAACCCACTTCTTGCGCATCCGAAGAGATCGAGATTTTGCGCCATAATATAATACGGTTATGCTGTCAATATGTGCTGGAGTCGCCCTGGCCCCCTTCTTCTGCGTTATGCTCTCCTTTCCACGGCTGCCTGTGACGTGGACAAATACCCACCTTGTGCGCTCCGAGGAGTAGAGTGAAGGATCAGAGGAGTAGAGTTCCGTGGAAGGTTTGGAAGCAGTCTTTGATGTTGAGGCGTTCAGGAGCGAATATTTCTAAGTTAGCTCGTTTTTGCAATATGGCCGATCTTGACGCCGTTGTGCCTTCGCATTGTCTTGCTTGAGCTGGCGGGCTGCGGCGGTGTGACACGCGTATTAGTTGAGCGATTGCTAATTTGGAGTGAAGGGCGGTCGGTTCGAGATGCGGGAAGAAAACGGGCGGAGTGTTAGCAAGTTAGACAGAACTAGATGTTAAAAGACTTGGAATGTTTTAAACTTTTGAACTTTTGAAAACATGTCTCTCATTGAAAGTGTACATCGCTAGAACAGCAGACAGCGCACAAACGAACTAGGGAAAGAAAGCTATCTCAACTCTTTACATGCGATGCCAGTCGCTCCATGTCATAACCTCATACCTCATATCTCATAACCCGCTCTACCTCTTCTCCTGAGGATAGTACGCAGGCTGACCCTCAAGCGACTCACCAACACCCTGACGGTAACTAGGCGGCGGACCACCAAACGAAACCTGACCACCAGGCGTAGGAGTACTAGACTGGTTGGGCGGAGCATTGTTGTTAGACACACCGACGTTTGGGTTCAAGTCGCTGGGCGTGATGGTGCCGCCATCACCACCGCCCACCATGACGGTCTGCTCGTTGCCCTTCTTGTCCTTGACCTTGCCGACGACCATGCCCTTGGCTACGGACTTGATGATGGCTTTTCTGCTGACGCCCGTGACGTCGATGTAGACGAGGCCGACGTTCTTGACGCCGCCGGCGAGGTTGGTGGTGATTTGTCCTGCTTCGGCGCCGTACTTGTGGCCGACGGCGGCGCTGGCTGCGGCTCCGCTGCTGGTTAGGAGTTGCTTGCCCGAGTGCGAGATGCCGTCAGCGACTGTGGAGAAGGCGATCAAGCTCTTGTTCAACAGTCCTGGCTTGTAGTTTGTGTTGGGCGTGCCGTCTGGGTTCACGCTCTTGGCGTGTGTCTTCTTGTGGCCTGCCATTCCTGCTGCAGCGTTCTGGGCGTACTTGGTAAGCTGGCCTACAGTCTTGGCTGAGTAGCCAGCGACGCCGGTTGTGAGGGTGTTGATCTTGCGGACGCGCTCGTGGGTGGCAGGCTTGAAGACCATGGGCTTCTCGTTCGGCCTCGTCTTGTTGATGAAGTTCTCGGCACCGGATACCATCATGTTACTAAGGTAGCTGGAGCCGGTAACGACAAGGCGAGATGCGGCAGCGGCGTTCTGCACAAGGCCAGAGTCTTTGTATGCGGGATGGCGGGCCATTTCGAGGTAGTCTTCTTCGAGCGGTCGGATGTCGATGCGCTTGCCGTCTGGCGAGACGACAATCTCGACGGGATCTTGACCTGTGTTAGCATGAGTGACCTGCGCGCGCGGAAAAGGTTCAAATGACATACTCTTGGATCCCTGCTGCAATGCTGGGTCGGCGTGGATCATGGCACCCTCGGCCAGCTCACCGACAACGCTGCCGTTCTCCTCGTCGACCAAGACGACCTCGCCATTGTTCACAGCGCCTGCGTAGCCCTGGCCTGGCTGGTAGTCCTGGGGGTTGTATGCCTTGATGTCGCCCTTGCCCTTCTCGTGCGAGGGGGCTTGCGCACGCTCGAGGAAGGCTGTGCACTGTGCCAAGATGGTCTCAAAGGTATCCACATCTTCCTGCGTGACCGATGTCGAGCCCTTGCCAATTGGCGGGAACTCAATGCGTGTGAAGGCGCCGCTCTCTGGGCCCAAGTCCCATCGCGGTATCAGGTAGCTGCGCGGTGGCTGGTGGTAGATCTGTGTGGTCGCGGGGAGAGGGAGATCTAGCTCCGGGGGGAGGTTGAGGTGTAGGTAGAAGTCTTCTTCGGGCGCTTCGTTCTGGCCGCGCGTGTTACTGAGGTCTGCAAAGGGCGAGTTGGTGGGCACCATCAGCAGCGAGAGCGTCTGCGGCCCTGAGGGTGTGAGAGGGCTCTCCTCGCCCTGCTGAATGTGGTAGGCTTTAATGCCGCCGACTGTGTAGAGCAATCGAGGATCTCCATGGCCGCTCATGCTTGCGAGACGTGTTTCGCGGGGTATCGAGGTGGGTTGGTAGGTGAAGGAGAGATAAAGGAGCGATCAGGTGTCTTTCGAGGGATATGGGCAGGAGGGGTATCTTCTATTTCGGTGTATGAGTGCAGGAGCAACAACCTTTTTATGGAATGCAAGCGACAGGGAGTCGACTGCCCATGTGCAACCTGCTCGAGACGCCGCGCTTGCGACAGGCATTCTGACGTAACCATGCTCAGCCACGGGGAGCTCCGCATTTGGCCAATCAACGCTGTGGCTGTGCACTGCGCCACATGAAGGCAACCTCCCTCTTCTGTGTGTGAAGATATGTACGGTCGTATTTCCGCCTTCACACGATTCGCGAAGCGTCTTTGCCCCTTCACGTGCGAGATGCGCCCGTCTTGTGTTGATGATCTGCTGTGCATGCGCCTCGGAACGCGTCATGCACGGACGACTCACGTCTTCACGCATGGTAGTCGCTAACAACCCCGCGACTCCATCGTGTACTGCTTGGTGAAGCAGCGTCTTTCCAACAAGAACAACGTCAGCAGCTTTCGTCATCTTACCATTACGGTTAGGCCACCTAGCTCCCGCTCTGCATCCACTCCCTCATTCGTCTCATGGGACTTCCACTCCTGCCATCATCTCGACTATCGCGCTTTCCTGCTTTTTCGCTTCCCTGGCATAACGCACCCTGTTGAATACAATGTGCACAGAGGCTATGCGTTGGTAAGGTGGTGAGACGTATGCACCATGGTCGGCAGCGGCCTGCACCTTCCGTAGGAAATGCAACTTGGTACTTCGCGGTTTCCGAATATGGTCACTTCCATTACCAGGTCACCTGCTCCTTCTGTCTACAGCTCATTGGCGATGGCTTCTCTCGCCTTCTGTCCCCCACTCGTAAACAATGCATCGATACCAGCAGACCGACCCATCGGCCACCTCCCAGCGCCCACCCTCGTAGGTAAACACGGCCATCGACCGACCGACCAGCGCATCGTGAAGATCCATGAGACCTACTATGAAGCGGCTAGAGCACTTTACCGCTGGAATTTCCCAGGACGACCGTCATAAGATGTCGATACCATGTGCCCAGTCAATTGCCGCCATATACTTTCGCTCGGGTTGAATAGTATCTGAGATAATCTACCCTCCTGCTAAGACTGTTCCAAGGTTGCAACGCCTGATTACGGTCTCTTCCCAATGGCGTCACATATATCCTCAGTCCGTGCGCTCTTTCCGTAGTCGGAGTGGTAGCCTAACTCTTCCCCAACGCGCCTGCCTATATGACTCGCGTATCTTTGAGCACCACTTTACCTTACCGGCTACACTGGCAATACAACGACCAATTGATCGATATCCACATTGCTTGTCAAGTACACATTGTTCTTGACCTGCCGACCGTCAACCAGCGATCCAATTTACCGACTACACTGGTAGCACTCCGACTAATCGACCGATATTCAAGTCATGCAGACTATTGCAGCTCGCACCTCGTCACCAACCGACCCATCTGCGGTGTCCTTCCTTACGAAGCTACCCCCCGAGATTCGTAATTACGTGTACGAAATACTATTCAAGCGCCGAGACCGAGTCCTACTTCATAACGCGGATGCATTCCACGAGCCATATCATTGGCCTCTGAGTTCAAATAGGTACTTAGAGGATTACTATCATTGGTACGAAGTTGAGGTCGGAAAAGACACGGAGTTCCGACATGATCTTCACGAGGGGCTTGCTTTGCTATCGTCCTGCCGCCAGGTACATGATGAAGCTTCTGGGATTCTATACAGCGGCAACACCTTCGTAATCTCTAGAGTCCAAGATCGTGACGATGGGGGTAACGAACATATGGCTGGCGACGAAGAATACTTCCAGGTCAACTATGCCTGTAAATGGCTGGAGCAAATCGGATCGCAATTCTCCCGCCTGAAGAAAGTCATTATCGATACAAATACGATGTGTACGCACCCCAATTGCTCGTGTGGCGAAAGGATCGAACTTTTGCCTCTATTACGCCTGATATGGAAGAACCCAGATCTCCTCAAGATCATTTCGTTCGGAGATGCTAGCAAAATACCGAATACCCCAGATGTTGTAAACGAAGCGGTTGACAGGGGTAGAGGGTGGAACGATAAAGCGCATATGCTCAACAACATGCTCACTGCTCTCGCGGTAGAAGACGTCCTCGACATACGCAAATACTCCTTCTCCAATCGCCTCATGAGCGCGGTCTCAATAATCACACGTCCGGAAGAGCAAGAGGAAGAGAACAGTTACGTGGTTATGTGGAACGGGAGCGAGGAAGAACGTGAGGAGTTCCTCACGTCAGACGAAGGCAAACCTCTTCGATGGAAGCCGTGGGAGCCGTATGAAGGGCGCTACCATTTTGGACACTTACCAACGGACATACGAGAACGAATAGCAGGGCTTTTACTGCGCCAACCAGACGGAGTCACAATTGACTTGGAGTCACACACCATACATGGTCTCGACTTCGATATCGCTCGGACAGGTCTAGTCCACGTGCGCAACGCAGGGATAGTTGCATCACGTGTGAACCGAATCAGTGTAAAGATGACCAGCAACAAGACCATTACAGACTTCGACGGATTCGATAAGCTTATGACCTTCTATCACAGAAGACACGATCATCCCGAGGTCTTAGATCAGATGTTAGGTTACTCGGAAGAGCCCAGTCCACAGACCATCATACTGGAAATCGCGCCTGCCAAGATAGAAATCCTCGGCGCTATTCGTATCAACATGAAAGTCTTGATACTCGTACTCCTCAGCCGAAAACTCCATCCTGCCTCCACCATCCGCATAACACTTACCCCACCTCCTGACACCGGAGCACCGCAACAAACCACTACCATCTCGACGGAAAAGCTATACCAACAAGTATTTATCCTCCTATCCGAATTCATGGTTGAGAAATTGCAAGGATTGCCCAAACTCCCTGATCCCAACACCGAGAAAGCTCTTCTCGAACTCAAGACCCCTGATCTCTGGATCGACGGCTACGGCAACCTTCTCACCATCTCGACTCTCGATATGGGTGCTCCGATAGAAGTTAGAGTCGGAAAGCTCGGCAGGAAAGAGCTGCGCGTTTTGGGGTACAGCAGAGCTACTACTATGGACTGGATGGCTAAGCCGCTGAGCGAGGCGCTCCAGGCGCATGACTACACTTCTACATGGAGAGGGGCTGAGTTGGTCTGTCTGTGGGATAATCTGAGGAAGAAATTATATGATGATTGGAACTTCAGGCAGCCGCCGCCGGGGTTGATGGAGTCGACGCGACTGCAGTAAGTGGCTGGTGGGTGACCACGTTGGCTGGAGAAGATGGCGGCGCAGTAGCAAGTGGGTTCGCGGAGGAATACGCTGGATCATTTTGAGTTGGAGGTCTTGCCTATTATGTACCTAAAAGTATACAACATCAGGTAGTTCGTCGGTCTAGCGACCAGAATCTCATCGAACACCTCCCGGAAACTTTATAACGTTATGTGTGCGTTCATAGTTCTATTTGTATACTGCGAAGACAAACCACTACAAATCTCTATAAGCGCGACGTCTTTTTAACTGAGAGTATCTCGTTGTATAAGATAGTGGAAATGACGAGTTGACTAGCTGTCCGCAAGAACGGACGCATGCAGGGCTATGACGTGAGTTCTTTGTCACGTTTCATCAGACTACGCTTGGTAGAGCGACTGATGTATTAGCCGAGTCCTTACGGCCGCTTCTCCAGGCCGTGGCAGACAAAGAAAAGCAGGTACGAGTGCATGGTTTGGCTGCTCGAAAGGTCGCGTGACTCCTTGCAGAGGTCAATCTTTAACTTCGAAGTCGCGCCTTCCATTACCACCACGTCTGCTGGCGTCTTCGCACTTTTCCAAGCCTTTCACGCACCAAAATATGGAGTCTTGCTACGTATTTCGTACCTGGGCCGGAGAAACCCTCACTATAGCCTGCGCGATCGGCTTGGTAGCCTCAATCGCAGGCATCCTAGCAGTACACGACGGCAAACCCGTACCGGATTGGGGCGGCGACCTCAATCTCAATGCTCTCATCGCGCTTTTATCAACGGTTCTGCGCGCTCTACTAGTCGTCACTGTCGCGCAGATCATATCGCAGAGGAAATGGGACTGGTTCAGCGTCACGAGTGCCCGGCCGTTGTCAGATATCCAGCGATTCGACTACGGGAGCCGCGGAGCCTACGGAGCGTTGCTTCTCATTCCGACTGTTTTTCTCAAGGACTTTGTTACACTGGCTGCTGCGGTCGTGTTGCTATTGTCGTTCTTGGTGGGACCTTTCGCTCAGCAGGCTAATGGCGCGGCGCCGTGCTCGTTTCCGAGCGCTACACTCAATGCATCACTTCCCTTCGCACATACAGTACCTGGGAGTGGTGGCTACATCCCCTTTACAGGTGGTTCAGACGGAGGCCCCACAACCGACCTTGTTGCCGCAATCCTATCCAGTGTCGTATCGCCCTACGGCATCGAGAACAAAATTCGAACAAGCTGCCCGACGGGAAATTGTACGTTCAGCAATCTGGGTGCCAGACCAGAGTTGGAGAAGGCCTTCTTCGACTCTAATCAGAGCATGCATTCGACGGTTGGAGTGTGCAACGTATGCACAAACGTGGCGTCTTCAGTAACGAGCAAGATCGAGAGTACAGAGTGGAGTAACAACACCATCCACTCTCTGCCAAGCGGCTTGAACCTATCAGTAGGAGCAGGTCATTTCGAAGTCTCGACCATGAAGCCAACTCCCAACCTCACCTGGATGGGCAGTCTCCTAACCGACAGCGTCAGAGAAGCATCCAGATGGGCCTACGTCAACGCAACCCTCCTCAACATAGCCAGTACCCCCATCACCGCATCCGTATGCAGCTTGTACCCATGCACCCGCACATACAAAAGCTTCATCAAAGACTCCGAGCTCCACGAATGGGAAGTCCCCTCCTCAGCCATGCGCCTCCAAATCAGCGGTGCCCACCACGAAGAACTCGATCTCCCCACTTCCAGAAACAGCCTCTCCAACACGGAATACGCATACACAACACGCCGAGAGCCGTGCCGAGTAGGCCCCTGGACGCTATACGCTGGCGGTTTCATCCCCGAAGGCACCGCGACAGCGGAACTGCAGCTCTTCGATTTCACGCACGAGAAATATTCGTTTGAGAATATGACGTGGCCGGAACAGTGTATATACCGGCAACCAGCCGAATTCGTCAAAGCGGTCGCGATGGTTATGAATGACGATGTTTTCGATGGGTATTGCCAGTCGTACAAAACTTTTGACTGCTTCAAGAACTGCAAGAACAGCGGGTTTTGCCAGTTGGAAAGTCAGTCTAATCTCGCGCATATAGGCGTTAATGCCGTTCTGCGACCGCTGGTGGAAACAGAAGGCAGTTCGACCCATGCCAATGTTACGAAACTCTTCGATGCCGTGGCGAATGCTATGACTAATCGGTTTCGGTTCCAGTACGGCAGCGCTACAGCTCGGGATACCAGCTACGGCGCGCACGACCCGCCTTTGGATGTGGTGTATGGGCTTGCGTGGGAGACGAAAGCGTGTGTGGAGATGCGGGTGAAATGGCTTTTGTTTCCGATTTGTCTTACTGTCGCCACGTGCATTCTTTCTGTTTGGGTTAATGTTACGAATTGGAAAAGGCGGCATAGCGTGCCTATCTGGAAAGACAGTATTCTGCCACTGGTGTTCTACGGGCAAAGTATCAAGCCCCAAGATGATACGCCGTTGTCGCCGCAGGGATTTGGATTTGGGAGAGAGGCGGGTGGAGATAGGGCGGACGGGCTCATGGAAGCGAATAAAATGGCTGCGGCTAGTCGCGATATCATGGTGACTTTCCAGTGGCCTGATAGCCCACGAACGGACAAGTTTGAGGATAAGCGTGGGCAGGGTGTGGGTTCGGCTGCGGCTTTGGCGAAGGAGTGTAATGTCGCGAGTGTTCCGTTGAGGAGAATGGATATTTGGGGGAATATTGTGGTGAATGGTCGGAGGAATAATGTATGAGAAATAGTATTTCCTTGTACTGCTTTCAGTTATGGACGAGTAACATGAAATGCATAATCAACTTTCCGCTTTGCCGTATACAATTACCCATCTTCTCTCTTCAGCGGCAGTACGCGTCAATCTGGGCGTCAGACAGAGTGTGCATTCCACCAGCGCATCTATACCCGCTATACTGCTTGATCCACATATAACCCATCGGACATCGTCCCATTACCTTCAGCTTCTTCTGCCTCTCCATCTCCTTCTGTCGCGCCTTCTCGACAGCCGCTAACTCCTCGTCGCGACGTCGTCTCTCAAGTTCCGCTGCTATACGCGCTTGTTCACGGATGCGTCGCTCCGCTTCGTCGGCAGCTGCCTTCTCGGCACGGATGAATTCCTTGATCTGCTCTTCGTACTGTCGCTTCTCTTCTTGGAGTTGGCGGTATTCGTTTTCTTTGGCCACCATGGCGTGCTTGTCGCGTTCGAGTTGCTCCCATACTTCGTCGGAAACACCGGCATCGCGCTTGACTTTGAGGATAGAAGCGAACGGGTCTTCAGGCTCAGTCGCGGGTTCGGGCTTCTTTTCCGTTGGCTGCTTGTCGCCTTCCGATTTGTCCGTATTGGTCCCGGCTGTTGGTGGCGGGGCTGCGGTATTTGTCGAGGTGTTTGAGCCTTGCGCACTAGGCGGTGTTGGGTTCTGAGTCTGTGGTGGGGGCATGGGGCGGTTAGACCTTGGCTTTCCTGACCGGCTCGTGCCTGCTGCGGCATGCCGCCGTGAACGTTCGTCTATCATGTCTTCCATAGTACGGATGATAATAGATTCAGTGAGTACGAGGCTAGTGATGGGACGCACAGCCGTGGAGATGAGTGCTTGAAACATGCTCTTGGCAAGCGACTTCACATCGCGAGCGTTACCCCAGGACTCCAGGACTGATAGCCTGCCAAATAGGTCCAGTAACTGCTGGCGTAGTTGCGATGACGGCGGATCGATCACGGAAAGGTCGAGCGGCGCTTTCTTTTTCTTCTGCAGATCCGAGAGAACTTTGACAAGAAGCTTCAGACATGTTTCTGGGTCGATGTGCTTGAACATGACTGTTTCGGGAAAGCGACTAGTGAGTCCAGGGTTCATGCTCATCAGTCGATCAATATCTTTGTCGTAGCCAGCCAGAATGACGACGAGCTTCTGCGCATACTTGGGTTTGGTGAGACAGTCAACTAGCTCATCCATTGCCTCGGTGGCGAAATGACCTTCAGCAAGACGGTAGGCTTCGTCGATGAAGAGAACTTTACCCAGAGCTTTCTCAATGAGCTTCTGAACCTTTGGCCCAGTGTGCCCAATGTACTGGCCAATTAAGTCGGTAGCGGAACACTCTTCCACCTTCGCCTGGCTAAGGAAGCCCATGTCGTAGAAGATCTTGCCCATCTTTGCAGCCGTGGTAGTCTTGCCAGTGCCTGGCGGTCCTTTGAAGAGAAAGTTGAAAGGTATCTGCTCTCGAGGGTCCATTCCAAGAGCTTTCATGTTGGCGGCCGTGGTTTGGTAACCCTGGAACTGCTTGATCAGTTCCTCGCATCCTACGACATCTTGGAATAGGGCCGAAACTTCGGTGGCTGCACGAGTGCCGCGGTCAAAATCAGGATCAAAGTCGATGGCTTCGAACGTGCCAAATTGCTTGACTTTGCCCGCGGATATGTGCTTCTGATGTAACGCCTTTGCACGATCCAGGAGTATATCGACCTCGCCTGCGTTGCCGAAGTTTGGGCGGTTGCGCGCGCGTTGAATGACCTCCATGGCGACCTAGAACGAAACGTGTCAGTAAGGATGTATCAAAAGTGATACGCGACATTACCTTCTTGGCTTGGTCTTTCGCATCAAATCCAATCCCCTTGAGCTTGAAGTCAAAGATCTGACGAATCTCAGCATCATTGAAGTCCTCAAACACGAAAGCGGATTCGAGTGGGAACCGCCTCGCAAGGCCGGGATTGACATCTCGAAACATGTCTTCCATTTGATCCTTGTAACCCAGCAGCAACACACATCGGTCTTCGCCTGCGGTGCTCTGAACTTCGGCAACGATGGTATCGATGACTGCAGCTTTGAAAGGGTCACCGCCGTTGGGACCGCTAGCTTTAGCAAGCATGTAAGCCTCATCGATGATGAGAACTTTACCAACAGTAGAGGCCAAAATGGCTTTTGTGTTGGCTTCTGAGCCGCCTATGACGTTCCCGACGAAATCTGCTGGGTTCTTTACGATGACTTCGCCAAGCGAAAGAAGCCCAATGTCAGCCAGAACGCGACCGTA